ACCCCGCACAACATGATCCACTCGACCACCATTATGGTTACCGCCAAAAAAAACAAAAACATAGGTAAAAAACAAAAACGGTAACCTAGTTGCCGAGTTCACGAAGTGAATTGGCTTGTTTTANAAACATGATCTACTCGACCACCGTTGTGGTTACCGCCAAAAAAAGGGAGGTAAACACAAAACAACGGTAACCTGGTTGCCGAGTTCACGAAGTGAATTGGCTTGTTTTACAACGTCGTTGCCAAGCGACGAAAACCCAACCCCGATGGCAAACACCCGGGGAGGGGGGTAGAATCCACAAAACGCACCCGTTGTCGTCTCTGGATCCTCGAGCGCGGCCGCGTCGGGCGACAGCGCGGCCTGCCCCACCCACAGCTCGACCCGCACGACGATGGTCGAGTGCCGGAAGGCCTCCACGTACACCATCGACAGGTCCCGCTTCGCGGGAGTTGGCACCTGTGATGGCAACGTTTGTTGGGAAACTTTGTGCGTTGGAGAGACGAAACAAGGGGGGGTGCTAAAGTAGTCTCTAGATGATCGTTGGAGGGCGGCAAGCCACTCATGGCTATCCTGCGTGGCATTCGTAGTGTACCCAGCAACGCCAAAGGTACTTGTGAAGCGCGTCGGGATTACCACCAGACAGGCAGCGATGAAGGGGGGGGGGGGNGGACAGAACCCTGTCTCACAGAAGTAACTGACAACTCGGAGGATAGGCAACGATTAGCGAAACTGTGTGAGGTCTGAGAAACACACGGCTGTTGTTCACGCCCTCCTCCCGCACAGCTGACACATGCTACGATCACAGGGTCGAAACCCGAACACACGCGGCAGACTTGAAGCCTTTGCCCTGGCCCAGCCACTAACCGCGGTACGTTGCCACTCAAAAAGAAGTACATGCGCGCTGCTGGTTAACGACGGTGACGAAAGCATCGATACGCGAAGCCGGCTGCCGTAGCCAAGGAAGCCCTCCCAGGGTAGTCGGGTTTGTGTTGGCGGATCCATAACCCTTATGCCTCAACCTTCGAAAGTAGCCCTCTCGACCATACTCCCGCTTCACACAACTTATTCCCTCGAGTTTTCTCACCGTGTGCCGCACGGTGACCTTGGCCTTCTTGCGGCACATCTTGGCCAGGACTTCCTCGCTCGTGAGCTCGGGCACCAGCGACCCCGTCAGCGCAAGGAGATGGAGCACGAACTCCAGGTCTACGTTCGCCCGCATTTCCTGTCCCACCAAGCCAAAAAGCGTCAACTCACAGGAATAGGTATAGGGCCATGATCAGGCTAAGGGGTAGAACCAACCGACAGGTTCAACTGAGACGTTAGTTGGACAATAGTTTCGAGGTTCGATACTTTCAGCGACCGACACATGTTGGGTAAGAGCTGAGGCTCGGTATGTATCTTCTGTACACGGGGGAACGGTTGGTGTTACCATGGAGAGAGGGAGGCATTTTGGCGGACCAGGTCGGGAGGGGGGGGGGGGATCAGAACCCTCGTGGCCTTCCTACCTGAAGCTCCAAGTCCAAGCTCTTGAGGTGCGGCATGCCGAGGGTGGCCACTTCCTTGTCCCACAAGAGCCTCACGAAGGGCACGGCGCCTCTGTTGCCGCCCGCTCCGCCCTCCCTCGCGTCTCTGAGGTGGCTGTTGAAGCCGCTGTCTGCCGGCTGAAGAACCACCGGCATCCGTGTTCGCCTCCGCATGTCGTCCACCTTGCCTCAGAAGGAAGCCCGAGAGGAGGGTCGGGGATTGGTTGAAAGGGACGGAGAGGGGCGAGGAGCTTAGTACGGAAAGGCAAGCATCTCTTTACTTCGTCATATCTTTCGTCCCACCCCTGTTCGAAATCGAAAAAAGGCAAAACAAAACGCCTACCTGCACGTGGAAGACCTGCAGCTCGACCACGTTGTCGCCGCTACGCTTGGCGACCGTAACGCTGTCCACGTGGGCGGACATCACCTCGGACGGTCCCTGGATTGCCAGTCGACGCAAAAACAGGGCGTGAAATGTCGGGGATAGGCGAACTTACGGTCTTGTTTGATCAAACGGCGTGTCGTCCCCGCAGTAAAACAAGAACGAACAGCTCGACGACGGCGATGAAAAACATCACAACGAACAAAGCAGGACATCGAGCAGAGGCACCACGGTAAAATCGCAACAACAGCAAGCGCTGCCCCTTTGGAAAAGGGTTTTGGTTGCCCGGTCGACACTTGCGCTAACGCCAATGACAAGACATTGGGAACTAGCACACACCATTGTATCGAACGACGCGCATCTCGCCGCAATACGACAAAGCACTGCTCTGGTGCAACAACTAACCAATCCGCACTCTCTCCGCCTAGCCCCCGGCTCTCTCACCTCCGTTGAGCACTCTACGATGTTGAAGCTCAGGCCGGAGAAACGAACGCCGATGTCGAGCTGGTTGTAGAGCCGCTTCAGCTGCACGAGGAGATTTTTGGCGACCCACATGTTAGCAAGAGACGCACCGGTCAACGTTGGTTGGGGGTCCCCTTGCGGCGGGAACCGCCCACCGCACCGCAAAGCAGGGACTGTATTATTGCCAGTGAGGAAATGACGAGAATATTATATTTTCGTCGTCTCACCCATACAGAACAAAACAAGAAGGGACTCTGTCGTGACACCATCTGCAAACCAACTCTCGCTCCCTCCCAAGTCTGCCGCGTGTTCAGTGCTATAATTCATTATGGGCCCATTCATTATTGTTAACCGTTGAAAAGTTGTCCGGTTTCACTTGGCACTAAACGTATAGTAGTCTTTCACGTTTCATGTTACCGAAAACCTTGTTGAAGTTGTCATTACCGTACGGTCCAGCAAAAAAACAAACAACAAAAACCACGTGGTGTTCCGTACCACCTTGGAGGTGAATCTGGTACAATCCTTGTAACCTACCCGAGTGACGCTGTCCGCGTGACCCTGTTCGTGCCCGTCTGATAGGCGGGCATCGCCGAAGCTCAGCACGCGCGTTCGCCCCTCTACCCGAACCTCAGAATACAGTCTTTCAACAAGGGGGGCGGCGAAAATGACACAACGTGAGGGCGGGCGGGG